AACCAAAATTCTGGCATTTCCAAATCACTGTATACATGAGGTTTATTTTTAGAGTTACCCTGAAAGAAACCAGGCATTCTTTCAAGAGAATTGCTGGGGAAGCTACAAGCTGTAGGGGCCACTGACGGAGCCCAGTATTTATTACTACTAGGACTTGTTGCAAATCACAGCCATACAATCTTCATCCTTTGCCTTACTGAGTTATATAAAACCTAATCACTGCTCAACAGGAGACTTTTGTGTGTGTGGAGGAGGGGGTCATGGGGCCTGAACTCTGGACCTGAGCGCTGTCCCTCAGCTCTTCAGCTCAAGGCGAGCGCTCTACCACTTGAGCCACAGTGCCACTTCTGGCTTTTCTGTTTATGTGGTGCTGAGGAATTGAACCCAGGGCCTCATGCATGCAGGACAAGCACTTTACCACTGAGCCACCTTCTCAGCCCTCAACAGGAGACTTTAATAAACTGTAAAATACCTTAAAGACTGTCACTATATTATCATAATGTCAACCATAGATTCCATCTAATAGAACGTAAAGTCTACACATTACTTTCAGCAGTACCTTCGCTCTTCTACATACCACCTTTCTAGCAGGCATAGTGGTGTAGATTTCATAGGTATTTTAAATATGTTTGCAGAATATGTGGCAGTAACATGAGAATGAGGGCATAAAGAAGAGCCCAGGGCAAAGGTATCCCCAACTTCCTAAAAGAATTTGGAATAATTGTTATTCCTCCCACCAAAATGGCCAAGTATAAATTGATGGGGTGAGAATAAAGCCTTCTACCTCCTCCAATCTGGCTCCTAATGTGTATATTTTTTCTGCAAGCCTTAGAAAAATGGAAAAGGAATTTGTAGAAAAAGCAGTGAAGTACAGGACAAGGAAAGAGCCAACAATAACTCTTATAAAACTGCTCAGCAACTACTGGCCATTAAAGAAGAGCTCCTTAACTTCTCAAGTTGAAACCTGCAAAATGTAAATCAGGCCTTTGTGAGACAAACTAAAATAGTGTCCCCTTAGGGTACACGAATACCACAGTGAAGTCACCAGCATGAACTATACCTTGCAAAGACTTTCCTGAGGAACAGGGAAGGAGGGCTCTTTTTTCCACGTTAAATATACACTTGTCAGATGATCGAACAGTAAAAACGCAATTGTCTTAAATATCAATTATTCTGATTTATGCACACAGAAAACTTACATTGTGGATTAAACAGCCTCATTTAATTACTAGCCATTCCTAAAGTCTACGAGGAGTTTGGAAGGTATTTTGGTCCCAGTGTTAAGCTGGGAAGTTGTATAAACTTTAATTGAGCTGCTTATATAAGCACTCTTTTCCTTAACCTAATCATTCTAAGAAAGAGGGAAAGCTCCCTACCTCTATGATCAAGACCTTATCTGCCACATTTCCATTCCCAACCATTATAAATTAATTAAAGGGGCTTCCGCTACAATATTACTACCACCTATCCCTCCTTGGATACTAGTAAATCTTACTTATAACTTACTATTAAAAGACAAAAAGGCCAACTATTAAACAGAAACTAGTCATCTATATACAAATTAGGAGAAAAGATCCAAAAATCTGAAAGCAAATGAGGAAAAAGATCTCCCTTTAGAAAAGGGTGTCTGGCCGATGAAAATCCTCCCACCACAGGCAGGAAATGCAATCCTGGTTCCCAAAGCAACTTTAACTCTCTATTTCCAAGAATGCACTGCGCCCCGCTCTCTCAAGCACCGTGTGTCAGAATCAGTGCTAATTGTCCTGACTTTTGTACAGCAAGTGGTAAGACCAGGTACAATGATCTAATTTGTATCTGCCATATTATTTTTTAAATGCCTCAGTGACACCCTCTACCCACTCCACCCCAAAAAAGGTACATGTTTTTAAAAAGACCTGTGTCCTCTGGATATGTGAACATTTCAGGTTACATAAGAATTTGTGCCTAGTGGTCTCTAAGGCATAGAGCTTAGCAAGAAAGACTCACACGTCACTATATTTATTGTCTGAATACACAATGACAAGTTTAATTTTGATATTATTTTTAAAGTGACTTAGGATCAGTGTCAAAGCATGTATTTTCTCATAATTAGGTAATTTCTCATAATCTGACTTGGTGCATTTTTAAGGTTTTTTGGTGTTTCAAGTTCAACATCAACAAGAAGGCTAGGGAAGTGATGGCTGAATCTAGTCTCCCACACTGCCCGCTTCGAGTTTCACATGCTCTGCAAGGGCAAGCACAACATGCATCACTTGTTTAAGGGTATGTGAAATGTGAACTGGCTGGGAGACTTAATGGATGCACAACACAGTCATGGTACTTGAATTCATGGGAAATAATTAGTTAGCTACAGCCCGTGGAGTAACTGGAGGAGAGAGGGCAGTCGCTGAATATCAAAACACACAATGATCTATATAAAGCCTTGCCTACCTGCCAGGAATTGCTGACAGTAACATTCATGCATGCAAACATACATCCTGGCTATTAAAAAGGAAGGGGAGAAAGCATCAAACTCACTACACACAGGTCTCCCTCCCTTCCCAACACTCCACTGCACACAATTTCCTGCAGGACATCCTTTCTAACTCAAGAACAAATACAGTAGGTTCTGGTCACATTTTTATAAATTGTCTAAAAAGTATGTTTGTCTAGCCTAAATGTTGTCACACCTGTTGTCATTATGTTATTTTAAATAATATTTCTTATTAATCCATGCTCTTATCATTTAGCAAACAGGTTAACAAAACTTGAAAAATTCTTCAGCCATGAACAACTCTAAACATACAACATATTTAGCGTTTAAAAAGCCATGTTAAAGAGTCCTAACTAGGCCTCTTTTACTCCCATTTCCTTTATGGAAAGCAGGAAGTGTTTCTCCTTTTTTTAAATTTGTTCCTATGTTTATACTATTACACTAAATATATCTTTGCTAAAACTTTAAAGAAAAAAAAAAAGTCCTAACTAAATGACCTCCAAGATCTCTTCTGACCTTGTTATCACCGGGGCCCAAAGTTAATATATGTGACTCCCAGAACTAACAATCTAACTTGACTGATAGTTTCTCACCCTACTGCATTGTCTCTGCAACAGAGAAGTAACCAGAGTAATCTATCTAGCTGTTCTATCACCTGGAATAAGCCTCACCTACCTCACTTCTACAACTAGGAAAGGACAAGATTGACAACCTATTGTTCAGAGCTTTCCAACTGAATCTGAAGCACTTGGAGACAGGCAAGGAGGCAATGTCTCTTCTTTGAAGTTTTTAAATTTGAAATAGATAAAGACTTCAAGGGTATTCAGAATTGAACACAGCAGCCTTAACAAGTCAAAACAGAAGCAAAAAATAATTGTATATAAACTGCAAAAATAATTTTGGCCAGCTTAAAAAAAAAATGTTAACACTTCAAGAAACAAAGAGGAACTCCAGAAGACCTTGGGAAAACCTGAATCTTTTGCAATGTCTTTAAAGACAACCCTGACACAGCCACTTCCATACATTTCAGTACTTTTAAAAGCTGGGTTCAAATACAGTCTATTTCTTCAATTGCTGAAGACCAGGTGTCTGATAGTTTGATTTTATGACCTTATTTTTCAAAAGGTTTCATCTACCTGAAGAATCATTTACAAATAAAATTGTATTAACTGCAGAAGTGTTAAATACTACTTTTCTAAAACCCACACAGTAACTTGATTAAACTTTTCAAAGCAGTTTTAGTAAGTCATATTCATTCCCTGAAATCTTGATAAAGTTTAGTGTGCTAGTGAGCAGTGGAAAGAAAAAAAATTCAAGATCAAAAGAACCATTGCCTACAAAGTGTCCCTTTCAAACATCCTCAAAATAATGTTATTTGCTCTATAGAATTAGCTTGCTTTGACAGAAGAATGGCTTGGGGCAGTCTGCTCTCTCTGGAAGTTTATTAGTACCAACTACTGGCAAAATCAAGTCTTCCAATGCAGTAAGGTATGAAGCCCTCCTAATCAGATGTCAGTTTCTCACACATTATTACGTACAATAATCAAACTGTACATATATCAATAAAGAAAAACTTATCTACATCAAACATGATTTTTTAACACTTTCAGACAAATGTGAACTTTCCTACCATAAGTTTCCAATGCATCCCTTTCCCTGTCGTTGAAAGACCATTTACATGTGTCCCTACACTTGCTCTGAATCAAAGCAAAAAGAAAGACCATGCCGAGAGCCTTTGCCACAGGGAGAAAACGGTGCCCAGCAATTACACTGAGTACAGACACTTCCTTTTGTTTCCCTTACCAGGATGGCTTTGTGGCTCTTAATTAAGGCTGAATAAGAAAAATAACTCTACCAGTGAATTTCCATTTTAACTTTCCATACGTAATATAGGCAATAAAGGCATTTGGCTCCCCTCAAATTCCCTTAACAGAGCAAACAGGAATCATCTTCAGCCCTGAAAAGTCAGTTAAACATTTTAAAAGGCCAAAGTGTTTTAAGCCTCTCTCTTAAGACTTATTATGATGGCCCTGGTAAGAAAGAGAAAAGCAAGGATAGGTGTTTCTGACTAATGCATCAGGACAGAGAGAGACAGACAGAAACAGACAGAGACAGAGAGGGGGGAGAGGAGAGAGGGAAGAGGAGAGAGAGGAGAGGAGAGGGAGATGGGGACAGAGCGAGGGGGGAGAGAGAGGAGATGGGGGACAGAGGGAAGAGGAGAGAGAGGAGAGGAGAGGGAGATGGGGACAGAGCGAGGGGGGAGAGAGAGGAGATGGGGGACAGAGGGAAGAGGAGAGAGAGAGAGCGAAATGCTAATGACCAAAATGGCAAATGAACTAATCGGTTCAGTTAGCGAGAAGAGAAGCTCAAGAGATGAGCGAGATCAACTTTAGAAATGGGAAGAGTCGGCACAAGCCGGGGCGCTGGGAGCCCCCGCCGTGCGCGCGCGCCGGGTCCGGCCGGGCCGAGCCGGCGGGTGGCGAAGAGCCGGGAGCCGGAGGTGGGGAGCAGGGCTGTCACCGCTTACCCAGGTGCAGCGTGAGGTTGATGGAGTTGGGGTACTGCACCCCGGCCAGCATGGTCTGGCTCTGCCACCAGGTGGTGTCGGCCTGGTTGTTGTAGTCGGTGAGGAAGGCGGCCCCGTGCTGCAGGTGGGGCTGCCCGGCGTCGCACAGGTGACAGGACTTGGTGACCCCGGTCACCCCGGTCTGCACACAGTACTCCTCGGGCGGAGTCCCACACGTGTTGGTGGCCACCACGGTCACGTTGAAAGCCGCATTGACGAACTCGGGCATGCAGCGCTGCGGCC